GCGAGACCGGATGCTCGACGGGATGAAGCCGTGGAAATCGCTTGGGGAAACTTCGCGGGGAGGGAGCGAGACCGGATGCTCGACGGGATGAAGCCGTGGAAATAGCTTGGGGAAACTTCGCTGGGAGGGAGCGAGACCGGATGCTCGACGGGATGAAGCCGTGGAAATAGCTTGGGGAAATAGCTTGGGGAAACTTCGCTGGGAGGGAGCGAGAACGGATGCTCGACGGGATGAAGCCGTGGAAATCGCTTGGGGAAACTTCGCTGCATGGGAGGGAGCGAGACCGGATGCTCGACGGGATGAAGCCGTGGAAATAGCTTGGAGAAACTTCGCTGGGAGGAAGCGAGACCGGATGCTCGACGGGATGAAGCCGTGGAAATAGCTTGGGGAAACTGCGCTGGGAGGGAGCGAGACCGGATGCTCGACGGGATGAAGCCGTGGAAATAGCTTGGGGAAACTGCGCTGGGAGGGAGCGAGACCGGATGCTCGACGGGATGAAGCCGTGGAAATAGCCTGGGGAAACTGCGCTGGGAGGGAGCGAGACCGGATGCTCGACGGGATGAAGCCGTGGAAATAGCTTGTGAAAACTGCGCTGGGAAGGAGCGAGACCGGATGCTCGACGGGATGAAGCCGTGGAAATAGCTTGGGGAAACTTCGCTGGGAGGGAGCGAGACCGGATGCTGGACGGGATGAAGCCGTGGAAATAGCTTGGGGAAACTACGCTGGGAAGGAGCGAGACCGGATGCTGGACGGGATGAAGCCGTGGAAATAGCTTGGGGAAACTTCGCTGGGAGGGAGCGAGACCGGATGCTGGACGGGATGAAGCCGTGGAAATAGCTTGGGGAAACTTCGCTGGGAGGGAGCGAGACCGGATGCTGGACGGGATGAAACCGTGGAAATAGCTTGGGGAAACTTCGCTGGGAAGGAGCGAGACCGGATGCTGGACGGGATGAAGCCGTGGAAATAGCTTGGGGAAACTTCGCTGGGAAGGAGCGAGACCGGATGCTGGACGGGATGAAGCCGTGGAAATAGCTTGGGGAAAATTCGCTGGGAGGGAGCGAGACCGGATGCTGGACGGGATGAAGCCGTGGAAATAGCTTGGGGAAACTTCGCTGGGAGGGAGCGAGACCGGATGCTGGACGGGATGAAGCCGTGGAAATAGCTTGGGGAAACTTCGCTGGGAGGGAGCGAGACAGCATGCTGGACGGGACAAAACCGTGGAAAATAGCTTGGGGAAACTTCGCTGGGAGGGAGCGAGACCGGATGCTGGACGGGACAAAACCGTGGAAATAGCTTCGGGAAACTGCGCGGGGAGGGAGCGAGACAGCATGCTGGACGGGAAAAAACCGTGGAAAATAGCTTGGGGAAACTGCGCTGGATGGGAGCGAGACAGCATGCTGGACGGAAAGCTGTGCTGGGAGGAAGCGCGACAGCATGCTGGACGGGACAAAACCGTGGAAATAGTTTGGGGAAACTTCGGTGGGAGGGAGCGAGACAGCATGCTGGACGGAGAGGAAACCGTGCAAATAGCTTGCAGGGAGCTTCGCTGGAAGGGAACGAGACAACTGGACGGATGGGAAACCGTGGAAATAGTTTCGGAGAGCTTCGCTGGGAGGAAGCGAGATAGCATGCTGGACGGAGA